TCCATCAAACACCCTGTCCAAACTTCTGCTAGTGCCTGCTCCCCGCCGGGAGCTGCTGAATGCAGCACAGCTTCTAAAAGCATGCAGTGCCTGGGACTTGTGTGTGATATTTTGGACTGCCACTGAGTCTGTGGTTAGTCTGGCTGTGTTCCTAAGTCACACTGAAATCCAGCCCAGGTTTGGCTTGCTTCCCAAGAGTGAAAATCAAAGAAAGGAAACCCTGCTACAATTTTGGGGTGATTCTACCAGGCTGAAGCTCTCTCCACAGCTGCGCTAGCTGAGGTGGTGCTTTTTGGTGCTGCTCAGCAGTTCTGGGGAGGAGGGGAAAGCTCTATGTCTGTGGGCATACAGATGGGGGCACTACCAGGGCTGCAGTGCTTCTGGTGTCTGCTATTTATTAACTATGGAAGAACAGAATTGGTTTTGGCATCAGGAGGATACAGGGTTAGATTCTGCACTCTGTCCCTTTTCTCCATGCTCGGATCCTCAGGAAGAAGGGGGAGAGGATGCTCGGGTTTCAGAGGTCCTGTTTCCTTCACTGAAGTGGAGCAGCAAGTTAATTTTGTAACTTTCTTTTTAAGTAAGCAGCAAAAAAGGTTATCATCATTTTTTGTTCTCTTTTTGGATGTAATTATAAAGCTTTGTGCTTGTTTATTTCTGGTAAGTTTTTAACTAGGGAGCTATTGAGTGATAATGAAGCATTTTTTCTTTTAACCAAGTAGGAGGAACACATCAGACAAATGTTGAAAAGCTGTTCTTTCCCCTAAAAAAACAAACAAACAAACAAAAAAAAGTTACTCCCAAACTACTTTTCTGTAAGTGAATGTGGAGAATGATGGCTTATGTAGGCTTGGGTTTGTGGAGCCAAACCAAAAATCATAAAAGCATGACAGGCGCTTTTTGTTTGTTTGTTTGCTTTTGATAAATAATGTGATTATCAGTACGTGTGCTTCTTCCTGGTTGCAGGTATAGATGTGGGGGATGAAACACTCAGAAAAGAAAATAGCATCAGTGAAACATTCCATAAGGCAAACAGCTTTAAGCATGTTGGGCCATCATTTGGGAAGGTGCTGGCTCTGTTTTGGGAAGGTGTTTGATGAACAAAGCTGAGAACCAAGAAATGATGGCAGGGCCTTGCAAGAGGTTGAGCTAGGAATGGAGATATTCTGGCAGCCCCAACAAGCACCTCTGAGAGCTGACACTTTTCTAGGGAAAGGGGCAGTGATAAGAGCTGCAGAATGGGAGCATGTTTTTCAGCTCAGGATAGCAGAAGGGTCAGATATTTCCCAGAGCATGCAAAAAAGGCTAAAGGCTGTGATGAGGAAAAGTGTAATTCTACCCTTTGATCTGTATCTTGTCTGTGTCTGGATAATGTTTTTCTTATCAGATAAGCTAGAAGTGTTGCACTAAATGTAGACAGAAAAGCACTTCTGGGAAGTTCAGAGTCAGCACAGCCAAACAACTGTGTAAACAGAGCTAAAGCAAAGCACACCACATAGAAACCAACCCAAGAGAAATTTACAGGGACCTTTTTATTGTTCGCAAAAACTTTGTAAATAGTCTTAAACTACCACTGAGAGCTAGAATTCTGCAGTTTGTTTGAGAGGGCCATACTGCACTGTAAGTGAATAATGCAGCCCCTCAGCACCACTGAGATAAAAAAATAATAATGTAATAGTTGCTTAAACTGAGTCTTACATTGTAAATGAAGCAGACCTTATATAAATGTAAATTAAAATATTGATACATATCTTACTGTAGGCACCAGTTATCTATGAATTTTGCAGATGAGCTGTACTGTGACCATGTTAAACAGAAACTAACACTAGTTTTTTATTTTATTTTATTTATTTTATTTTATTTTATCAAATATATTGGAACCATTCATTTTGTAATCTTGTGCCATAATGCTATGTTATATAGCATTGTTATATATATGTCTTATATAGCATTATCATATTGTGCTATTCTATCATATAGTGCTAACATGCTATAATCTACATGGTAGTGTCATGATGTACTTTGCTACTGAAATCTGGAACAATTCTATCAATATCTTGGATATAAAACAAAAAATGGACAAGAGGGGTAACAAAAAGATCAGGCTTTTTTTTTTTTTTCTCTCCTAGTTTTGTAGATCAGCTGGGCCAAAGAGTTATTACAGCTAAAGGAGTAACTTTTGTGTGTCTGTGTCATACATACATATGTGTACATGTATGTACACACACACACACTGGAAATGATTCATACACTAGAATGCCAGCCTAATCTGTCCATTCCTAGATAATATCATGTAATAAATATGACAGTCCAATGATTCACAGCACTTTATGATCTATAAAATTGTACTGCATTACTTTTAGCTACTAATTAACAGTCATTTCTGTCACTATCAGATATAATGAAAGGGCTGTTACAACAGCAGGATCTGTGAGACCTAGGGATGCTTTGTTCTTCATAGCTTACCAGGGTGCTGCTACTTGTCTCAACTCAAACAAGCCCAGTTTGTTTCCGTAGTGATGTTTTTGGAAAGGTTAGTGGATTATCAATAGTCACTTCAGATGTACAAGCCAAAGGGAAGGAACACACGGGAAACTAATGAAAAAGAGGTTTAAAGTCTTCTCTGAATTTTGTAAAAGGGCACAGCAGTCAACTCAAATTGATGTTTGACAATCCTGGGAGGTGTGCATTTTCTTGTGGGAAATAACGAGGGCTGATTGTCAGAGCTTCAGCTACTAACGCCCAAACCAGAAATATCACTGTCTTTGGACTCAAATTTTTTTCTGTTCCGTAGCCTGTGAGTTTTATTCATAGACCCTGGGGAGGGCTTGAAAGATGGACGAGGCAGGTAGTCCAATGAGGTTTAGCACGTGTGCATATATACCAAACAAATCCAAATGTTCCAAGACGTAGCAGTGCACAACGACCCCCAGATAGCTGTGTACTGATTGTACAATATCCATATGGTTACAATTAATAATTTATTGTGCTTATTTCCTGGATTAGAAGCCTTTTAAGTATTCATGAAATTGACTTTCTTCTTAGGGGATGTGCTGAGGTGTTTTGAAGATTGAGCACTGTAATTTGGGAGAAGTCACAGGGCCTTTTTCAGGTGTAGAGGTTCAATTCATGCTTCAAGCACAAAACTAAACTCAGAATTAACTCAAAACTGAATAATCTCTTGCAAATTTGTGAAATGCCTTTCCTAAAATGCCCCAGTGCTTGTCTTTTCTGCTTCAGTATTTCCTTCACATTCCCTGAGAATCCATTTCTCCATTGCATCTTGCTTTCCGCTTCCAACTCACATATCCAAATTATCTGTGGGCTGCAGCTTTCCTATTGCCCAGGCACTCTATCCTTTTAAAATTTTCTTGCACAGCAAGTCATTGATCTTTTCGTCTGGCTTGAAGGTAGCTGAAAAGTCAGTACAGCTTTTAGCCATTTTTTCCTGATCTTTACTACAGTGCTCGCTGGATTACAATACAGAAGATGCATTTCCTAATTCCTCGGTAAGGATTACGCATCAGAAGCGTGTGAATTCATCCCCCAAATTGAAGCCATATCCTGAGCTGTTTTGGCCCTCTCTATTATCTAGACAGAAATTTATGCCTATTATTAAAAATAATAATAGATTTACTCAGCTGACTATATTCCCAAGAGAGTAAAAAGACATATGTATGCATTTGCAATGCTACAGTAAGTAGAACAACAATAGTGTGTAAAAATATCATATGATACAATATAAAAAAACAGTCTTTGCAGTAACAAATGTGATTTCTCGCATATCTCTGTCCATGTTGGCAGCTGCTGCTAAATGATAGCGTCCTTCATCGAAGGCCTAATCTCTTGTGGGAAATACAGATGCTAAGACTAACAGGGAGTTGATCTGCTTGTTTAGTTTTAAGTAAAGTAAATGGTTTAATTACAATAAGATGCTGTATAGCCAGAACCAGAAAACAAGACTGCTCTGTGATGTTTATTTTCCTGCTGCTGCTCGGAAGGCAGCAACAAAAGGCCAAAGGAGACTGCAGTGGGAGAGTGGTGAGGTGGGGAGCAGAGAAAGGTGTGCAGGACTCAGCCAGAGGGAAGCTGGAAGGGAGCATGGGGCAGGGAGAGTGTTTGCAGACCCTGCATCACCCAGCTTTCTGGCTGGAAGCAGGGAAAACAGAAAGCATGAAGAAGGACTGTATTTGAGAGAGACAAAAATAAAGAAATATAAGTAGGAACAGACATACTGCATGCATTTAAGCATTCATGTCAGCATGTTGTTTTCTACAAAAGCAGGCAGTTTATGAAACCCAGTAGAATTTTTTTAGAATGACACTTGTATTTCCTCGCTCCCTGTATGTACGGGCTGGGTTACAATCTCCTGCTTCACATTCCCAATTTTACATCAGTGTGACCTGTAAATATTGTGCTTTGTGTAATTTTCCATCTAGTGTTGGTGATTGCCATTGCTTTGCCATGAAGCTATTTGTTGGAAAACCCACAAAGTTTTGACAAATTGCATCTTCTCTTTCTCAAATCGATCTTTAAAAGTATCTTGTAGATAAGGAAGTGACTGAAGACATAATCTCTGGATCAGTTTAGGTATTAGTGAAATGCAGCCAGCTACAAGAGGAAATGTGATTGATAACTGCAGTAGCGATGGCCCGGTGAGGCATCCAGAGCAGCCCAATGCTGAACCTTGCTGTTATCACTTATGCTGGTTTTCATAATTTGTCATTTAATCTTTTTTGATTGGATTTTCTGTGTTTTAACACCCAAGACCATCTGACTGAGTTAGGAGACTGGTGTGCAAAAATACATAAGGGATGCGTGAATGAAAAGTATATGCACACGTAGGCACGTGGAATGTAAGGTCTTTAAGAAGGTTCAGAAATGAGGCTTCACAAATGAGGCATTAAAAGGTGCTGTATTTTTCAGTTTGCAAAGACTTTCTAGTGTTGTGACAATTAATTTTTTGCATTCTAACAGTTTTGACTCCTTGCTCTCCCTAGGTGAAATGGAAGAGTTAGAAACCCTGTGGCTGACTGGTATTTGCCACAATGAGAAGAATGAAGTCATGAGCAGCCAGCTGGATATTGACAACATGGCAGGAGTCTTTTACATGCTTGCAGCAGCCATGGCGCTCAGTTTAATTACCTTTGTCTGGGAGCACTTATTTTACTGGAAGCTTAGATTCTGCTTCACTGGAATCTGCTCTGATAGACCAGGATTATTGTTCTCAATCAGCAGGGTTAGTATTCTTTGCATTTCACCCCTTCAGGCAATTGACAGTATGAGCACTGCCTCCCTAATACACTTTTCTTTGTATTCCCACCTGGACATTTGAAATAGTTGTTTACAACTCTGACAAAGTGATCAATGACCTTATTATGTTCTGGCACTCCAGGGGAAGTCTTATCTCCAATGGATTATTCTACCAGATTAATTATCATGTCAGGATAATTGTTAATCAAATGCTAGAAATGTAATATATTTAAGGGAGATTTTGATGTAGGAAAGGCAGAGCTGCTTATATTCAAGAATACTCACCCTTCCTCGACCCCCCCAAAAAAAGAACAAAAAAAAAAAAACCCAAAACCAACCCCACAACCAACAAAATAAGCACTAAATTAGTGACAGATATTAACTCTCAGGTTTGTGTACTTCATAAACATTTTAAGTGATAAAAGTACTAGACTAGTTTTTAAGTAGGCTTTTCTTGATAGCTAACTTATATAAGAGAAAGAGTCGAACACAAGTATCATTTGTGTTTGGTTAGACAGTAAGACAATTTTTAATAATACCAAATCCAAAGCAGATTTACATATCCCAATAATTAATGTGAGCAGTAAGATAAAGGAAGTAGGTGCTTGTTCTCAAACCTTTTGACAAATCAATATTTCTTATTTAATTTTTTAAGTGAGTGCTTCATTAGGTAATGGACTTTGCAGGTGTTTGTATATAGCTGAGGAGAGCAGAAAATGATTAAAAAGAAAAGCCTAATTTCTTAAAAAAATGTGCTAACATTACCTTTTAGAGTAAATTTGATTGTATTGGAACTGCACTAAAACACTCTGCCCTAGCCTGTTGGAGATTGCCTAGTAAAGCATAAATGCTTACATCTTTATGTTTTGTATTTGAAGTTTATACTTTGGTCTTCAGTGTGAAACTCAATCTTCTCTGGTAAAAAATGCTTATTTAAAAGGCAAATTTCACAGGGTCCGGGATATCATTCAAACTCACAAAAGCCACTAAACAGGTAAGAGTTACATACAGGATGGACTTGAACCATTTGTCCCAGATGAACTCAATTTCAGGCTTAGAAAGAACTGAAGAGCGCCATAACTTCTAGTAGCCTTACTGCATGCCTCTTTTAGAGCGGTAATTTAATCACTGCTTTGGAAAAATAGAATTTCCATTAATGAAGGTTAGCTGTATTTTATGATGGCATTAGGGAACCTTTTGAGGTCCCCGGTAATCCTGTTGTCTGGAATAAAGTATGGGAGGCCAACACAGACCACTGGTTCGTAAAATACTGGCAATCGTCCTTTACATTGCCAGTGGATTATGGCAGAAACTATTCTTCCATATAGATCTAAACAAATACTACAAGAATAGGTATATGTCTTTTACTAATTAAATAAGCAATGCTTTATTGCCATTGAAATTGGATTGAAAATATTTAAAATTTACATATAGTAATTTAATTTGTTTTATATAATTCTTATTACAGGGTATTTATAGCTGCATTCATGGAGTACACATTGAAGAAAAAAAGAAGTCCCCTGACTTTACTTTGACCAATTCCCAAACCAACATGTTAAAACTACTACGAACAGCGAAAAATATGACCAATATAAATCCTTCAAGAATTAACTCCCCCAAAAGAACAGCTGATTTTATTCAGAGGGGTTCCTTGATTATGGACATGGTCATGGATAAGGGAAACTTGATCTTTTCTGATAACAGATCCTTTCAGACAAAGGACAACTTTTTTGGTGAAAACATGAGTGAATTGCAGACACTTCCTGGCAATCGACACAAGGACAATCTTAACAACTATGTTTTCCAAGGTCAGCATCCTCTCACACTGAATGAGTCCAACCCAAATACAGTAGAGGTTGCAGTAACAACAGAAGCAAAAGTAAACTCCAGACCCAGGCAACTTTGGAGGAAATCTGTTGAATCTTTACGTCAGGAATCTGTACGTCAGAGTCAAGGTTCTCAGAGGGAAAACGGGTCAGATGAAAACCGGCAACTTTCAGTGAAAAGCCAAAGATATCTTCCTGAAGAGATTGTCCATTCAGATGTATCAGAGACATCAAGCCGGGCTACTTGCCATATGGAACCTGATAACAACAATAAGCACCACAAAACCAAGGACAATTTTAAAAAAAGAACAGTAGCATCAAAATACCCAAAAGACTGTAGTGAAGTGGAACTGACATATCTGAAAACTAAACAGAGCTCTCCACGGGATAAAATCTACACAATTGATGCTGATAAGGAGCCAGGATTCCGCTTGGACACACCCCAATATATCGAAAACATTGTCCTTCCAGAAACTATAGAGTATCCTGGTGTTTATCAAGATCACAATGACAACTACAGGAAAGCAGAACATGCTAACAGGACTCCCATGCATAATGAAGACAGTCTTCCAAATAATGATCAGTATAAACTTTATGCAAAGCACTACAGTTTAAAAGATAAAAATGCTTCCCTAGTTGACATGAATGATAGATACAGACAGAATTCTACCCACTGTAGGAGCTGTCTTTCCAATTTGCCCACTTATACGGGACATTATTCAGGCAGATCGCCCTATAAATGCGATGCATGCTTGCGGATGGGGAACCTCTATGATATTGAGGAAGATCAGATGCTGCAGGACACAACGAACTTATCACTTCCTGAAGAAATATATGACCATAGTTGGTCACAGAATAATGCTCTGCAATATCATAAAAAAAACAAGTTGAGGATTAGCAGGCAACATTCATTTGATAATATTGCTGATAAGTCCAGGGAAATTGATCTTGGAAGACCTTCTCGTAGTATAAGCTTGAAAGATAAAGAGAAGTTTCTCCAAAGTAGTCCATATGCAAGCATGTTTAGCGTTCCCTCAAGCAAACTGTTGAGCAACAAAGCCTCACTTTTAACCCATGCTCTAGAGGACAGTAAGAGGAGCAAGTCCCTGTATCCCATTCACTCAGAAGATAATCCCTTTCTGCACTCGTATCGTGATGACCAGCACTTATCTCTTAGGCGAAATCCAGCTGATCTTTATAAATATTCGTTACCAACCAGAGGAAGAAATGATAATTATTTCAGGTCATCCATAAAGTCTACAGCATCATACTGTTCCAGGGATGGTCGGATCCATAATGACATGTACATTTCAGAGCATGTTTTGCCTTATGTTGCAAATAGGAATAGTGTGTATTCAACTCCAAGGGTTTTAAATTCCTGTAGCAATAGACGTGTGTATAAGAAAATGCCTAGCATTGAATCAGATGTTTAAATTTTCCATGAACACTTATCTATAGGGAAAAATAGTTGCCACCATCTTAGAGGGAGAATATTTCCTTTAACAATATCCTGCTGTAGTAAATGATATGTAAACCTCTCCCTTTCTCAGTGTACTTTTGTACACGAATAGGTGAACTTAGTATGCTCTCAACCATCTTTTTAAAATATGTCTTGTTGAAAAGGAGAAAAAATAGCCATTTATGTATGCTTTATATAAATGGCAAGCTGTACTGAAATAGCCCCAATATATGTTGGCAACTATGCTATTTTGTATCTGATTATTTTATAATTTTGGTTATTCTAATTTCTGTTGCTAAGTATCATTCAGTGTACTTTTGTCCTTAGAAATGTTTAATGATTTTCTAGTACCGGATAAGCAATATGGTATGCATGTAGTATGACACAGACAAAAAGAATTAGGAATGCATTTGCTAAGTTACAAAAATAAGACTCTTTAAAAGAGACCAGAGAGCTAAGCTTTCAAAAATATATCTTAGCTTCATAATCATTTTCAAAGAAGAAAAACCTTTAAAAAAAAAAAAAAAAGAATCCAACCCAAACTCCAGGACCTTAATTAACAAAATACAGTGTGTTAGCACAAAATTAGTATGTTCATAGTAGACTGACAGAAAATAAATGGGAAGACTGTAGACCCAAACATGTGAACTGCTGTGTACCAAAAGGAAGCCCTGTGGATTTTGGTTAATGTTAATTTACAAATGCTTTTCTTATATTTCACATGCACTTGCCATTAGAAACTAAGTTCATTGAAAAGTCTGCAGTCATCTTGTCAAAAAATTCACAGCTGCCTAATCCAGAGTATATATTTTTAGCTATCAATATATGTCACTTATTGTGGAGTTCATTAGTAACCTTGAGACCTAATAAGTATGCAGGTTTGCATTTGCCCCTTACTGGTGATTACTCAGGGCTGTATAGTATTTATTTTATTCCCTCAGTTCCCAAACCAAATCCCAACCCACCACAGTTCTTTGTTCATAGGATGTTAGTGACATCTAATTAACTGTATGTTAGTATTACTAAAGCTGTTAATATGGTATCAAACACGAACAGCCATATGTTCAGTATAATCAGCAAGGAATGCAATGCCATTTATTTGCATATACCGTGAAGGATTAATGCCCTTTGTGGGCCTTCTTCTTTCTGGAATATCATGCATATTTGTTGAACATCAGACTTTTTTTTTTTTTTTTTTTTTTTTTTAACCTCTCTAATCAAATCTGTCCTATAAATTGAATATATGCACACATCACCACTCACCGGTATGCAAAAAATATTCACATTACAAGGCTGTATTCTTATATGACTTTTATTTCTAGTGAAGATCAATCAGCATATTTCAGAAACAAAATGTGTGCTATGCATCCTTCCTCATCCCATAGCCATAAGGGAGTGTAAAAGGGAAAAGGGGAAGACTTTCTTGAGTAGAGTGTACAGTTGTAAATTGTAGTTAAATTAAAGAAGTAAATTGCTAATATATTTAAAGTATCAACAGGTAGTTCTCTCCCATTGTCCTGGTAGTATAAGAATCACTCTGATTTTATTTATTTATTTGTCCATGTATGGGAAGTTTAGATGATTAGATTATTAAATTATTCCTTAGATTTTACTGAAAATCAGTGAACGAGGAAACCATTACCACTGTGAATTGGAAAATGTAAATATTACCCTGACTTTTCCCTAAACAAAAGTTGTTTTCAATAGAATCATACTTACATCAGCTGTAATTGTATATCTGCAAGTCAGAGTTACAGTATGCAAGTTGTTTAGTAGTTAGTATTAGCATCCTTCAGACGAGCGCTGCAAATGGGAGGTAATATAAATGACATATAGTGATAGATAGAATACGGCCTATTGAATTTTTATTTACAATTTTTTTATTAAACAGATTTGAGCTGACTAATTACTAAACGGTCCACAATGAATTCTTGATATTTGCAAATGTATTTGTACTTTCGTCATAATGGTGAAGGATGATATTTTGGAAGGAATAAAATTCAATGGGATTTGGGTTTTCCAAATCCCTTCCTAGCTTCCAAAAATCTCAGCATACTTTGTTATATTTGTGTTCAGAAAGCATATCTATGGGCATCTGCACTCTGTCCAGAGCAAATATCTTTTGAGTATTTCTTGTTCGACATTTGGTTGCAATTATTGGCCCTGGTTCACATGATATGCTTTCTGGCTTCTCACTGGCTCTGGTTGTTATAAAAAGATCCTTGACTGCCCTTACAGGGATTCTATCTCAGGAATAGCTGTATGAACCAAGCAGAGATAGGATGTTTATGGATGGGATGGAGCACTACTATTCACAATCAAACCCCCTTTCCCATGTGCATACACGTTTACCCTATTCATCTTAGGTCCATAGGAAGGAAAATGCACTAAAGACATAAGTATTGTTGTAATTAATATAATTAAAATATTTGAGGCAAATTTTAATTTCTAAATCATATTTAATTTCTAAATCATAGTAGATTAAACAAGATCTTAAGTGTTTGGAACCACCTGTGTTTTTCAGCAAATTGTCTGTTTGCTGATATCACATCAAAAACTACTGTGCAAGTTGCTGGGAATTTTACCAAGTGAATCATAAAACTCCATGGTGGCTCTTGTCTTTCACATCATCTGAAAGCACTCAGAATACTGTCTGCTCACTCCAAGTCTTTTGTAACTTCATCTTTATCTGCAACTAGACACCCATGCTTCAATATATAGACAAGTACTGTCTATAAAACTCTGGGAAAGAAAAGTTCCCACTTACGACATTTTCTAAATAAACTGTTGAGATCCAAATGCAAACATGCTAAACCCAGGTGAATTTATCCTTCTGTGAAATGTTCAGGCAAATTAGCTAAAAAGAAGTACACTGCAGTGTTTGCTTTTTCTCGTTTGAGATTTCTGGTGACTGTAGAGATTGGTTATCTACAAAATACAATCCCACACCAAACCAAATTAAAGAGACAGAGGGAAGACTTGATAATGTTGCACAGCAGTTGTTCACATGGGAATAAACTATGCTGCCTTAAAAGAAAAAGAAAGAGATTAAAAAAAAAAAAAAGGATACTGAAAGTAGAGGGATAAGAATCATGCATGTGTTTGCGGTTTTGATCTTGGCATGTAATATGTCTGAATGAAGGGGGAAGAAAAGGCTGAAGTGCAGGGTTGTAGCTAGAATAGCTGGTGTGGTTGCTGATGTATACATGTAAAGAAGAAGAAGCTGAGAAGTTGAAGGAAAAGCTCCAACAGTAGAGCCACAAGCCATAGCTTGTGAGGCTCAGCTGTAGGGCATATGGAACTCTGAATATTGCCTGAGCTTTGTTGATATATTTGCACTGACTTTCAATTAAATTGAGATCAAGACTTTCTGTATTTCCCTCTCTCTCACTCTAGCTGCTGCTATACTTGAAGAGGAGAAAAGAATCTTCCTGCATAAGTGGCCATCCTTTCTGTACCTTTCTGGATGGTGCTGGTGACTTGTTACATTTTCCTGATTACAGCTCTAGCAGATTGTTGGTCATTCCTATCACCAAGATTTCCCGTGACTCCAGCTGGAACTGAATCAGGCTGTAAATGATATGGGCCGTTCTTGGTAGCATGTCCCGTAGTGTTACACTGCTCCTGGACGACAACTTTTATGGAGGCAGGATATTGAATTGCTGAGGAATGAAGTAGGTACATGGAGGTAAAAACAGCTATGTAGACATTCCTGCCTCTTGCTTTTTTCCTCTTTTAAAGACATTGTAGAATTTCTTCATGTTTTTGTCTTCCCCTTTTCACCACAGTGCATTTTCCTTTTCCTTTCAAATGAATTTTGTTTTCTGCTTGTGTTTTGTAGAGCAGTGTAGCCACCCACTAACTTAAAAGCATGGAAATAAGATACTTTAATATATAAGATAAAATTAAGGAAATTAAGAGTTCTTTGTATTTCTGGAAATTTTCATTCAATGTTTTGGCAGCTTTCGCTCAGAATTCTTTATTTTGCTACTTTAGAAGCTCAGTTAGGAAACAGAGTGCTGTGGACACACTGAATCCAAATCACCGCCAGCCCACCATGTTTTGGCAGCATCTCATGAACATGTCTCTCTCTCTGTGGTCATTCAGGAACACTTAGTTAAATTAACAGTAACAATAAAGCTAAGGCAAATTAGTAGTTGTTTTTTGTTTTTTTTTTTTTTCCTGATGAAAACGAATTTTTTTACATAGTTCCTAAGGTAGCAAAAGCTAGAGGTATGTAGCGCTTGGGTTTCTCTGCTGGAAGGCTAAGCTCTTTGTGTTGCCAGTGTAAGGAGAGAAAGAGAGAAAGCTCCCTCCTGATGGCAGTCAGAGCACTGGAGGCTTGGAAGCAGTTGTGTTGATGTGTCTTGAAAGCATTTATTGCAGATATTTTAGGAAGCACGGGCACTAATCAGAGATCTCAGGCGTGCTTACTAGAGTAGTGGACTATTTATCCCAGCCTCAAAATCTGCTCAGTTGAGTCTGTGAGTGCCAGTTTACACCTTGCAGATCATATAGATTCCTGTGCTTATTCAATATCTGCTAAAGTTGCAGCTGTCTGTTGTGGATTCTGCAGTACTTCCAACCTAAACAGTATCACCATTTTCTTTATACCCTGTGACTAACCAGCATGAAATAAAAGTGTTAGCATCTCTTCCCTGTAGAATAACTTGCTATTTTTATATTTCTTCTGTGTAGCATATGCATCTTAAGATACAGTGATGGGGAAGATTTTAGTACCACTCCTTCCCTTGTTGAGTTCACCAACAAAAAACAGAACAGGAATTATGATACAGGTCTTAGAGTCAGGCTGGATGTAGAAAGAATTAAAGAGTGAATGTTTTTGTTGTTTTACTTTGAATTTAATGTGTTATGTATAAAACCTAGTGAAAACAGATATTTTATTATGAAGTCCTCTTAGTTAAAAGAGAACAGCATCCATTGTGTGACTTGGGTAGTTAAGTTAGTGTTAAG